CCCACTTTTTGATGGGTTTGTTTTTTCCTTGTAAATTTCTTTAAGTTCCTTGTAGATTCTGGATATTAGCCCTTGTCAGATGGATAGATTGCAAAAATTTTCTCCCATTCTGTAGGTTGCCTGTTCATAGTTTCTTTTGCTGTGCAGAAGCTCTTTAGTTTAATTAGATCCCATTTGTCAATTTTGGCTTTTGTTGCCATTGCTTTTGGAGTTTTAGTCATAAAGTTTTTGCCCATGCCCATGTCCTGAATGGTATTGCCCAGACTTTCTTCTAGGGTTTTCATGGGTTTAGGTCTTACATTTAAGTTTTTAATCCATCTTGAGTTAGTTTTTGTATAAGGTATAAGGAAGTGGTCGTTTCAGCCTTCTGCATATGACTAGCCAGTTTTCCCAACACCATTTATTAAGTTGGGAATCCTTTCCCTGTTGCTTGCGTTTGTCAGGTTGTCAAAGATCAGGTGGTTGTAGATGTGTAGGGTTATTTCTGAGGCCTCCATCCTGTCCCATTGGTCTATATATCTATTTTGGAACCAGTACCATGCTGTTTTGGTTACTGCAGCTTGTAATATAGTTTGAAGTCAGGTAGCGTGATGCCTCCAGGTTTGTTCTTTTTGCTTAAGATTGTCTTGGCTATACAGACTCTTTTTTTGGTTCCATATAAAATTTAAAGTAGTTTTTTTCTAATTCTGTAAAGGAAGTCAATGGTAGCTTGATGTGAATAGTATTGAATCTATAAATTACTTTGGCCAGTATGGGCATTTTCACGATATTGTTTCTTCCTATGTATTGTTTGTGTCATCTCTTATTTCCTTAGCAGTTATTTCTAGTTCTCCTTGAAGAGGTCCTTCATATCCTTGTATGCATTCCTAGGTATGTTATTCACTTTGTAGCCATTTTGAATGGGAGTTCACTCATGTTTTGGCTGTCTGTCTATTATTGGTGTATAGGAATGCTTGTGATTTTTGCATATTGATTTTTTATCCTGAGAGTTTGCTGAAGTTGCTGATCAGCTTAAGGAGATTTTGGGCTGAGACAGTGGGGTTTTCTACATATACAGTCATGTCATCTGCAACAGAGACAATTTGACTTCCTCTCTTCCTTTTTTAAATACCATTTCTTTCTTTCTCTTGCCTAATTGCCTTGGCTAGAAATTCCAATACTATGTTGAATAGGAGTGATGAGGGTGGGTATCCTTGTCTTGTGCCAGTTTTCAAAGGGAATGCTTCCAGCTTTTGCTGATTCAGTATGATATTGGCTGTGGGTTTGTCATAACTAGCTCTTATTATTTTGAGATGCGTTCCATCAACATGTATGTGTTTGTGTCCAGGAATTTATCAATTTCTTCTAAATTTTCTAGTTTATTTGCATAAAGATGTTTACAGTATTCTCTGATGGTATACCATTTGTATTTCTGTGGGATCAATGGTGATATCCCTTTTATCATTTTTTTATTGTGTCTATATGATTCTTCTCTATTTTCTTCTTTATTAGTCTGGCTAGCAGTCTATCTATTTTGTCAGTCTTTAAAAAAAACAGCTCCTGGATTCATTTGTTTTTTGAAGGGTTTTTCATGTCTCTATCTCCTTCAGTTCTGCTCTGATCTTAGTTATTTCTTGTCTTCAGCTGGCTTTTGAATTTGTTTGCTCTTGCTTCTCTAGTTCTTTTAATTGTGATGTTAGGGTACTGATGTTAGATCTTTTGTGCTTTCTCCTGTGGGTGCTAGTGCCATAAGTGTCCCTCTAAACACTGCTTTAGCTGTGTCCCATAGTTTCTGGGACACATTGTGTCTTTGTTCTTATTGGTTTCAAAGAACTTACTTAACTTCTCCCTTAATTTCATTATTTACTCAGTAGTTATTCAGTTGTTCAGTTTCCATGTAGTTGTGCGATTTTGAGTGAGTTTCTTAATCCTGAGTTCTAATTTGATTGCACTGTGGTCTGAGAGACTGTTTGTTATGATTTCCATTCTTTTGCATTTGCTGAGGAGTGTTTTACTTCCAATTATGTGGCCAATTTTAGAATAAGTGCTATTTGATGCTGAGAAGAATATATATTCTGTTGATTTGGGGTGGAGAGTTTTGTAGATGTCTATTAGGTCCACTTGATCCAGATCTGAGTTCAAGTGTTAAATATTCTTGTTAATTTTCTGTCTTATTGATCTAATATTGACAGTGGGTGTTAAAATCTCTCACTATTATTTTGTGGGAGTCTAAGTTGCAGCTTCAGCAGACTTAAATGCTCCTCCCCATCAGCTCTGAAGAGAGCAGTGGGTCTCCCAGCACAGTGCTTGAATTCTGCTACAGAATGGACTGCCTTCTTAAGTGGGTCCCTGACCCCACTGCCTCCTGATTGGGAGACACCTCCTTGCAGGGGTTGATGGATACCTTATACAGGAGAGCTGAGGCTGGCATGAGTAGATGCTCCTCTGAGATGAAGCTTTCAGAAGAAGGAACAGGCAGCAATCTTTGATGTTCTGCAGCCTCTGTTGGTGATACCCAGGCAAGCAGGGTCTGGAGTGGCCCTCCAGCAAGCTCCAGCAGATCTGCAGCAGAAGGGCCTGACTGTGAGAAGGAAAACTAACAAACAAAGGAATAACATCAACATCAACATCAACATCAACAAAAAGGATGTCTACACAAAAACCCCATCCGAAGGTCACCAACATCAAAGACCAAAGGTAGATAAATCCATGAGGATAAGAAAAAACCAGTGAATAACGGCTGAAAATTCCAAAACCCAGAAGGCCTATTCTCCTCCAAAGGATCACAACTCTGTGCCAGCAAGGGAACAAAACTGGATGGAGGAGGAGTTTGATGAATTGACAGAGTAGGCTTCAGAACTTTGATAATAACAGACTCCTCTGAGCTAAAGAAGCATGTTCTAACCCAATGTGAGGAAGCTAAGAATCTTAAAAAAAAGATTAGAGGAATTACTAACTAGAATAACTAATTTGGAGAAGAAAATAAATGGACTGATGAAGCTGAAAAACACAGCACGAGAGCTTCATAAAGCATACGTAAGTATCCATAGCCAAATCAATCAAAGAGAAGAAAGGATATTAGAGATTGAAGATCAACTTAATGAAATAAAGCATAAAGACAAGATTAGAGAAAAAAGAATTAGAAGGAACAAAGCCTCCAAGAAATATGGAACTATGTGAAAAGACCAAACCTATTGTTTGATTGGTGTACCTGAAAGTGACATGGAGAATGGAACCAAGTTGGAAAACACTCTTCAGCTTATTATCCAAGAGAACTTCTCCAACCTAGCAAGCCAGGCCAACATTCAAATTCAGGAAATACAAATGGACACCACAAAGATACTCCTCAAGAAGGGCAACCCCAAGACACATAATCGTCAGATTCGCCAAGGTTGAAATGAAGAAAAAAATGTTAAGGGCAACCAGAGAGAAAAGTTGGGTTACCCACGAAGAGAAGTCTGTCAGACTAACAGTGGATATTTCCACAGAAACACTACAAGCCAGAAGAGAGTGGGGACCAATATTCAATATTCTTAAAGAAATAAATTATCAACCCAGAATTTCATATCCAGTCAAACTAAGCTTCATATGCAAAGAAGAAATAAAATCCTTTACAGACAAGCAAATGCTGAGAGATTTTGTCACCATCAGGCCTGCCCTACAGGAGCTCCTGAAGGAACCACTAAATATGGAAAGGAAAAACCAGTACCAGCAACTACAGAAACATGCCAAATTGTAAAGACCATTGACACTATGAAGAAACTGCATAAACTAAGGGGCAAGCAACCAGCTAGCATCATAATGACAGGATCAAGTTCACACATAACAATATTAACCTTAAATGTAAATGGGCTAAAGGCCCCAATTAAGACACAGACTGGCAAATTGGAAAAAGAGTCAAGATCCATCAGTGTGCTATATTCAGGAGACCCATCTCCCATGCAAAGGCACACATAGGCTCAAAATAAAGAGATGGAGCAATATTTATCAAGCAAATGGAAAGAAAGAAAGAAAAAAAAAAAGCGGGGGTTGCAATCCTAGTCTCTGTCAAAACAGACTACTCTTCCTTTTCTCCTTCCATCTTCATCCCTTTTCTGTACAATGCCCCACTCTGGCTTCTCTTTCTATTTCCCTTCTAATCTTGCTCTGCATACACTGCTTTTTCAGAGCCAATTTGTTTCCCAGAATGGAAGGGACTGCTTATCTCTAGGAGAGGAATTTTGTCTCATGGCGCTGTTTTGGTCAGATAAGCAGCCAGCTGCTGATTGGACAGGGCAAGTCTGGCTGCAGTCCCTTCTGGACTAAACTAAGTAGCAGGAATAGAGCCACTGGATGATGGAGCAGAGAGTCACAGCCAAAGCTGACAGTAGGGAATGTTTGGGGTGGGATAAACATTTCAGAGACTCTAAACCTGCATATGTTTTGCCTGAGTTCGTCATTTTGTAGCATATTCCTAATGCTAATGGATTTACAATGGGAGCTAACCAAGCGGTGTCTCATGAACCTGAATTTTGAAAAAATAAACCTTCCTCAGCAGGTCCTCATAAAATATCCCTCTATTAGCAACGAGTATTCCGTGGTGTCTTATTACTGTTCTTTGCTTTAAAAAATGACCCAGAATATGATTTATTTTCAACATTTCATTGTCAATAGAACTTTTCAAAATGATCTTAAATACTAGTGGTTCATTTGTTCAGGTATGCAACACGCATTATAATTAAGGATTTATTTGCTTAGCTTTTTGCCAGCAAAGATGATGCTTGCGACCCTACAGCTGTGTGTAGTTGTGGCCAAATCTGCTAATCACTGACCATTGCTTGCCACATCGCTGTTTGCATACATATAGCTTAGCTTGAAAACTGAGGTCAGTGACTTCTTCTGGCTGCCTTTCATTAACATTCTTTCATTTGCCCCCTTCAGATTATGCCATTGCCAAATGTGAACAAAGCATGTAAAAAAGTATAGAATTTTTTTACGGCAGGATTTTTTGAGAAGAGACTTTTTTTTTTTTCTTTCTTCTTTTATTGGGAAGCAGACACAGGGTGGGAGGCCGTGTGACACCTCCTGGTGACAACCAGGATAACAGCGGTCAGAGTCAGGAATGCCACCAGAGCCAGGCCTGTGCCCAGCAGCAGCAAGGAGGTGTCAGCCGGCAAGGCCCACTGCTCCATTTCGTGGTCACCAGTCCTGTCCAGGAAGATCAGCAGCCCCACACTGACGTCTGCTTCTTCTGTCACATGCCTGTGGTTACAGACAGACGAACTGGACCCCAGGCTCACGACGTGGGGCTGCCTTCTGGCATGGCTTGGAGTGCCACAGTCACCCTTGCTACAGCACTGGTAGATGTCAGCTGGGCCTTCCACTGGGAACCAGCTGTTGGAAGACTTGCTGAAGGAACAAGCTTTGTTCAGTTCATCTGGGTCCTGCTCAGCGAGGATGACCTTCAGATGGCAGGTGATATATATCATATTTCTGGAGTAAATAATTAGTATGCAAGTTATTAAAATTATTTGAACAGATTAATAGTTCTCAAAATGTAGAGTGCATGAGAATTACCTGGAGGACCCATTACAGATTACTGAGCCCCGCCTACAGAATTTCTGATTCAGTTGGTGTGGTAAAAGGGCATCCAAGAAGTTTCCTTTGTAACACATCCCCAGGTGATGCTGATGATGCTGGTCCAGGGCAATACTTGGAGAATGCTGGGATTGACAAGTCAGTTATCCCACATATAAATCAGCCTCCACAGGTAGACCTCATGATCTGGTCTATGTATGTTTGATTGCAGCAGTCACTAACACCCAGGATCTTACCATCACTCATCAGCCCTTCTGAGTATCATTTTATAATTAGAAGTCGACCTTCCGGCTCTTTATGTAAGTTTATAATCTATATGTATCCTCCCTTTCCATGGCATTCCTGGGATGCTTCATAGTGATTCATTTTCTCCATGTAATGTGTTGTGTATAGCTTTTCTCTGAGAGGAGCAGTTATGTCCTTTGAAGGTGGACTGGGCTATAGGAAATTGTTAGTGGCTCTATGTTTTGAATGCTGAGCTGGGCACATAGACAGGTCTAATCAAAGTGTTTGAGTACATGGGAGCTTTATGTCTGTTATCTCAGTTCTACTCATTGAGAACGTTAGGTGACGTTAGAAATTCTGATTTTAAGTTTGACTTGGAACTTGAAGCCTCTGCTGTCTGGTTGTAGGCCGGTTTGTAAAAATGATGTATTGAGTTTCTTAATTTTTAAAAATCTTTCTAGTCTTTACAAGGTCTAATAAAGTCACCGTTTTTACTTTGAAGATGTTGATGAGGATGTTTGCAGCAGATGTGATCTGTCTGAAAAAGTTGGTATTTGACAATTTTGAGTTGCACCCTAAGCCATTGTCATTTTTTAACAATAATTAATTGTCACATGTTATTTAAGAGAGTCCTATTTCCAGGAAACAAGGATAAAAAGTATTCCTTGAAGAATATTTGGGGAATAACTTCAAAGAACCAAAAGTAACTAGCTTTTAAGTTCCTTGAGGGCAAGAACCATAGCATCCTTTCTTCTTAATCATTGTATCAACAAATCTTAACTACATTTTGTTCTCAGTACTCAAACTTAACCCCCGTATTAAACAAATGGCATTCCCATAATCTTGAAAAAAATAAATACTAGAGACAATGCAGGTAAGCATTCTCAAAGTGTGATCCTTGGAAATTTAGTGGCTTAGAAATAGTTTTAATCACCATAAAAAATGTTTGTAGAATTCAGAATAAATGTAATCAACCTCCTCTTTACTTAATCGTAATATACATAAGCAAAATGATGATCCTAGGAGGTCCTGAAGAAAAAAGGTGTAATAATATTTTTACCAGCTTTACTGAAGTAGAATTGACAAGTAAAAAATTGCATGTAGTTAAGGTGCTCATACATAACAATTTGATATATTCATTGTGAAGCGATTGTCATAATGAAACTAATTAACACATCCACTGACTCATAGTTATTTTTTGTATGTGTGGTTAAACACTTAAGATCTACTCTCTTAGCAAATTTCTGGTATACAATACAACATTGTTTACTGTAGTCACCAAGTTATATATTGGATCTCTAAAACTTATTTATGTTATAAATGAAAGTTTACTCTCTTCAACCAATGTCTCTTCATTTCCCATACCACTTATGACAATATTTTAAAATCAAAATCATGTATTTAGGATTGTTTAACCTAAGATTCTGCAAATTTATGCAAGCAAACATTGATAGAGTATTTTTGAAAACAGGACCAGAGTGTAAACATAAATAAATATTATCGAACACCTCTAGTACAACCCCCCCACCACACACACATGCATTTATTTTCAAACCACCCATTCAGTTAAGTAGCATTATCCCCAGTTTGCAGATTATAACACTACAAAATAGAGACATAATCAATTAATCTATGGTTTTCCACACATGCATTGTCTCACTAATAATCAATGGAAATTCCAACTCAGGGCTCAAAAATCTGAAAGGCAGGCTGAACCCTTGCTTAGGGCATTTGCAACACATAGCCACAGCATGGCAAAAAGTTTATTTTGAAAAGAATGTGGTAATATTACAAAAGCAGTATTGAAAATCATCACAAACATGAGTTTTTAACTTTATTCACTTATTTTAGAGATGAGAACTTACTTTTATTTCATCTGTAATAAGGGGTTTCCCCAAATCTTTGCAGTGTTTGGGATTTCTGAAGTTCTTATTCTTTTTCTGCTGTTCTTCCTTCAAAATTCTACATACAAGTAGTTATCCTTTTTTTCTTTCTTTCCTTCCTTCCTTCCTACCTTCCCTCTTTCTTTCTTTCTTTCTTTCTTTCTTTCTTTCTTTCTTTCTTTCTTTCTTTCTTTCTTTCTTTCTTTCTTTCTTTCTTTCTGAGATGCAGTCTCTCTCACTCTATTGACCAGGCTGGAGTGCAGTGGCACAATCTTGGCTCACTGCAATCTCTGCCTCCCAGGTTCAAGCAATTTTCATGCCTCAGCCTCTTGAGTAACTGGAATTACAGGCATGCACCACCACACACAGCTAATTTTTGGATTTTTAGTGGAGATGAGGTTTTGCCAAATTGACAAGGCTGGTCTTGAACTCCTGACCTCATGTGATCTGCCCATCTTTGCCTCCCAAAGTGCTGGGATACAGGCACGAGCTACTGCACCCAGCCTCAAGTGTACCTTCTTAAACTACTAACTTCTACTCAGCCATCTTACTTTAAGCATTACTTCAGAATTTCTTACTCTTTTTAGACTTCCGGTTTACACATCACGTAACACTTTCATTATTACTCTCCCACCTCAGCAGCTCCCAGTATTATAATCACTTCTTTGCAAATGCCCTCAATAGCATTTCCCTTTTTTCACTACAAGTAATTGCCTGACAAAACTTGTTCTTGTTATGTCTAAGTACTAGTTATGTCTCTCAAATGGGTACTGAAATTAAACTTCTATCCTCTATCCCTGGTTAAACATCCATTCCCAATAGAACTATCACGTACCTAGCTCGTTAAGCTTCTCACATCCTTTTCTGAATCTTCACACTAGGTTGACATCCTCAGGGCTGTAGTAAACAAGGATAAGCAAAATGGCTTACCACCCTACTTTCACCCATGCTCATGTTTTCTATCTTTTCTTCTTTAACAGCGGAAGAAAATTATCTACTCTGAAGAGAGACAACAAACCCACCCTCTAGGCTCAATATCTTCTAGTCTCTCATTTTCAAGGATTTTAGTGGGGCTGTTTTTCCTTCTTGTGTTATGTCTATTTCTGTTACACAAACAGATTATTTATCTCAGTGTACTTCAGGATTCACTTTAAAATAATGTCGTTTTTATGTCTGGGCTTTTCCTAATGAAATGTTCCTTGTCAAAGTCCCAGAAAACTTCCATACCACCACAGCCAATAGTCACTTCTGCTGCTCTCAACTTCCCCTCAGCAATCCTGATTTCATAGTGTTCTAATTTTCTCCCTCAGGGACAGCTCCTTCTCAGGTTCCTTTGCTGTTTTTCCTTCTAACTTCTAAATATTTGAAGTGGTCTAGGGCTGATACCTTGTCAATTGCTGTTTTCTACCCATATTCTCTTCCTAGGTCTTTTTTTTATTCAGTTTTTTGCTGATGGATTTCAAATTTGTTGATTAAGCTGTAACCTTTCCCTATCTTCCAGAATTCTAAAGCCAAATATCTAACCACTTATTGAGAGTTCAATTTTTAAGTCGAATAGATATCTCTTAGTTATCAAGATCAACCTGGGACTTTACAGAACTGGTTCCTCTTCCGCTTCCTCTGTTGGAGTTAATAACACAAATATCCATTATTTCCTTAGGCAGAGTTTTACCCTGATTCTTTCCTTTTCCTCAGCACTGACTCCACCCAATACCTCAGAAATTCCTATTAGTTTTACTTCAGAATAGTTTTTGAACTGGTTCTTATTTCTTCCATATCCACTGCTACCACCCAAACCAGGCTGTTGTCTCTTCCCTGGACTATTGCAATGGCCTTCTTACTTGGTCCTTCCAATTCCACTGGCACACATGCTTTCTTTACATAGCACCGATCTAAATTAATCTTTTAGTAACATGAATAATATTGTATCACCTCCATACATAAACCTCACAATTCCTTTTCATGGTGAATCAATTAAAATTCAGATTATTTATCATGGCTTCCACCAAAAGACCTATATGATGTGGCCCTTAGCCACTCATATGATTTTACTGCATGTAATTCCACTTCTCACTAAGTATGCTGCAGCCACATTGATCTTTTCTCTGGCTTTCCAGAAGCCCAATTCATTCCTTCTTTAGGCTCCTTGCACTGGCTGTCCTCTCTGACTGGAATGAAGGTCTGCTGTTCTCTGTATGACCAACTTCTCAGCTGATGTCTCAGCTAAATTGTGTGAATTTTTGTGTTTGCCTCAACCGAAGTATAAGCTACTCTCTAATTTGTGATCTGATTTTATGTTGCGCTCTGTATGAAAGAAGAATTACAAAAGAATAGCCAGATTATGAAAGGTAAAATATAAAGTGCTTTCAAAACACCAATTGCATTATAGATGCATAAAAATAATATACAGCAAAGAATGTTGCTCTCTAATGGGAAGAGTCAATTGTGTAAGGCCATTAAAATGTAACTCAAACTCCATCATGTTAATGACAGAGTAAAATTCCATTAGGCTAGGGCTGGGAGGGCTCTATTAATTAAACACTGCAGTACTTTTCTGCATACACAGTTCTTAGAAACTCATGTAAAAAACTTCCCTTGAAGTAAGACAATGTAGACTGATTTTAGGCATATAACAAATATGACTTCTCCCTAATGAAACAATGGAGCTAGTTTAGGATCATCAATAGATGCTGAAATATTAAGAGAAAGGCTGATATAAAACTTTTTAATAGAAGATTTAGGCTAATAGATTTAAGCGTTATTAGCCTAATGTTCATATCAATGTTA